AAAAAGTTTTACTTCTAAGGCCGTTGCAATTTTAAATAAGCAAAAAAGGGAACTGATCCCTGCAGATGTCAGTAGGAGTGAGTTCCAAAAAAAAAAAAAGTTTGGTGCAAAAATATTGCACTGAAATGACTTCTGTGTCTCCTCAGTTGCATTTGTGAATACTGTACAGTCAATTCTGCATGTCATGCAGAGAGCAATGGTGAGATCTATCTTAATAATAAGCCTCAGAAAGTTGAATAAAATGTTTAAAGGATAATGACAGAACTTAAAGTAGTACATTTTAGATGCATATCCATTATTCCAGGGCTGAGAAGCATGTGGCCCTGTAGGTACTGTTGGACTACCACTCCCATCACCTCTCATCATTGGCTATGATGGTTAGAACTAATGGGACATGTAGTTCAGTAACATGTATACAACCACACGTCTCTTCATATTTTTTTTCTTTTCAAACAAGCAAACCCTGGAGCCCAAACGAAGCCCTAAAAGCAATTTTCCTTGGCCCACAAATTGCCACCTTTAACAAATAGAAGCTTAGCATCGTAGGAACAGGGGAGCAAATCTATATTACTCAGGTTAGTACGATACCACTTAAGGCACTTCCTGCTTCCATTTGCAATTAGAGCTATGTGAATTTGGTTTTTCTGGAGAGCAGTTCCTAAAATTCCTTTGACAGCATGGCCAGTCTAGGGAATTCTGGAAGTTATCATCCCCAAACATAACTTTGCACAACTCTAATTACAATATGCATATTACAATGTGGTGGCGCTGTGGGCTAAACCGCAGCAGCCTGTGCTGCAGGGTCAGAAGATCCGGCAGTCGTAAGATCGAATCCACGCAACGGAATGAGCACCCGTCGCTTGTCCCAGCTCCCGCCAACCTAGCGGTTTGAAAGCATGCAAATGCGAGTAGATAAATAGGGACCACCTCGGTGGGAAGGTAAACAGGGTTCCGTGTCTAAATCACACTGGCCATGTGACCACAGAAAGATTGTCTTCGGACAAACGCTGGCTCTATGGCTTGAAGAGCGGGATGAGCGCCGCCCCCTAGAGTCAGACACGACTGGACAAAAATTGTCAAGGGGAACCTTTACCTTTACCTTTTAAGGATTTTCTACATTTTCTACCTATATCAGGTAGATTCTCTCCAGTCCACACATGAACATGTGAGGAGAATAGCAGTACTTCAGTGATTCAATTTCATAGGAACTAAATGATTGACCAAATGTTTCTTAATAGAAAACCACAAGGGAGGAACGTTCTATATCAGTGGTTCCCAACTTTGGGTAAGCCAGGTGGTTCTTTGTTTGCAACCCAGAAAGCATGGTATTCACCTGAGTGCCACCCATTCTGGGGGGGGGGGGAGAGAGAAAGGGGAGAGGAGCTGAGGAACTGAGATGGTGACTTTGACAAGTGATTTACATAGAGGGGTTGCGATGGAGGAAGTGTCTCAGGACCCAAGGGAAGTAGAAGAGCTGGGAGAACAGTTAGAAAGATCAGGAAGAGAAGGAAAAGGGGAGGAAATGTCAAGACAGAAGGAGACAGAAGAAGTTGGCGGAAAAGTGAATATAAAAAGGGGAGAAAGCAGGAGAAAAAGCTTAATGGAGGCAGGAACAAGTGAGAGCGAGAAGACAATCCTACCCCCGGAATGGGAATGGATTTGGTTGGAAAACCCCTGGACACAGAAATGGGAGAGGCTGATGGTGCTGACAGAGGAGGCTCAGAGGAGGAGAAGAGCTGTCATTTGCCCCATACCCTTCTACTGTACTGGGGAGAGAAAGAGGCCTGTGAGTGGAGACATGAGCTGAGGGAAGAAAGAGAGAGAGAGAGAGTGGAGAGAGAGAGAGAAACGGAGAGCACAACAAGCAAATGGAGAGGAGGGAATCCCAGAGGCCTGGGACTTCTATGAGCCAGGTGGAGGACTGGGTCAAGTCAACTATGAGGGAGAAGCCTTCATGCCCTTGCCGCCAATCTCACCGGGGACAGCATTAGCCAAGCATGAATAGTTTAACCCACCAGATCTGTGGGATGTTAGTTATGGAAACCCATTTGATGTTCAAGGAGGGAATCCCTTTCTCGCCCTGCTGGGCAACAAGATTATTAAAATCAAACTTGATGTAAATAGTTTTATTGATGTTCCTACAACAAATGTTGGTGTTTTGCACTTGAGCATGAGTAATATCGAGTCAGAAAGAGTTACTAGATTGATTGTCCCTAGAAACGAACTCTCACAAGCAAGTTAGTGGTGAAGCCTTCTGGGACTTCAAAAAGAACTGGGTTACCCAAGGTTGGGAACCACTGTTCTGGATAGAAAGAACAAGCTTTTGAGGCAGACCTTCCTCTGCCTTAACTAAAAATTATGTAATCCAGATGTCCCTACATGAAGCACTGTCTACAGTTTTAGACCACAGGTGGGTGGGTGCAAAATACAAAGAACTAAGTTTCTCCCTGTAAGTTTACATCACTGATAGAAACTAAGGGGAAGGAGAAAGAGTTACATAAATGCTCCCAACCCTCCTGAGTTGAGCTGCAAGATAAAATCCAGCTAAGGTGAACGTGTCAGGATTACATGCACTATACAGTATAGGTGAAAATGTTAGTATTATTTAAACACGGCAGAAACAAAAGTAAATTTTCTGTCACCAGTAATACAATTTTGCATTAACATATCCAGTGCATTCTGAGCCTATACACATCTATCTCAGGCTTATCCATCTCTGTCACTCTCTCTCTTGCAAGAAGGGAGTTAGATATCAAACAGCACTCCCAGTAATTATTTTCAATTGCTAAATCTGTGGCTTCATTTTATCAGGAAATGAACCTGCTTTGGGCCACAACTAAATCTCTTCCATCTCACCTCCAAACTCAGAACTGGTTATTTTCTGCAACCCACCTCTGAACTGAGCTTCTCATTAATGTTAACTGTTCCTGCTCAATTAGAATGACGGAACACAGGAAAATTCACACACTGGGTTCACATTTCCAACACACACACATACACACACACACACACACAGAGAGAACCCCAATCTTAGCATCAACTTCAGACTATAAGTTTTTGGGCTGGCAAAGCCAGGAGCAGAAGGCTTTCATCTAATAATTACACCCTGCTAGCCTCTTCAGAAGAACTTCCCAGCTGTGAAACCCACACTGCAAATTAGAGAATAAATGCAACAAGCTGCCTGACAAAGGGAGCAGGCAAATTACAGCCAACTGGCAACCAGACAGAGCATTGCTGGAAATCTAATCAGGCATTTGTAGAGAATGGCTACTCAGCCATAAAACAGAAAATGAATTTTACCTGATATTACTCAGGCAGCTACTGCTCACAACACATGGACCTGAAGGCAATATGCAAAAAGGGGAAACTTATTGCAGTGCCAGCAGTTCATAAACAGTTCAACCTATGCATCCCTCAACTCTCACCTTCCACAGTCTAGGCCCACAGGTGGGTGGGGTGTTAAGAGTCTGGAAAAGTTACTTGAATTAAACTCTCAGAATCCTCCAGACAGCATGGCCATTGGCATAGGCATTCTGGGAGTTTTAGTCCCCAAACCTTTATCATCCAGAATCCCAGATTCCTTCCTTTCCCGTTGCTCACATAACCCTCGGCTCTTTTCTGTCCGTTTTTCCCACTACCACAAGCACCAGATGCCCTGTCTTGCCACTAGTCTGAACAGCTAAAAATTGAAAATCTGCACACATGCTAGAGAAAAACATTTGGACTACAGGATGTGGTCCCCCTAGAGCAGCATTCCTCAACCCAACCCCTCCCTATGTTGTCAGTGACCATTCCCGTCATCTCCATCCACGATGGCAAAGGGCACCCTGGACTAGGAATGAGAGAAGCTGAACTCAACATACAGGACTGTATTTGGAGGCCAGAAGGTTGGGAGAGGATGCCCCAAATTCCATTCTCAATGCCAGCGCTCAATCCAGCAACACAGGATGTAATAACACTCAGTCTCTGAGCATATGCAGAGCTCAGAAGGGCAAAAAGATAAAACATACACAACGCACACAATACACGGAATGCACTTGATAAAGAGACCTTCTAGTATAGAAGAAATGACTTCCATCTGTTCCTCTTTGTATAAATTGAACACTACCTCTTTAAGACAAAACAAAGAAATATCCAGTTTTTTTTTTAATCCTACAGGACTCAGGAGGAAAACAGAAATGGCTGCCACGGCAGGTACACTGTCCTGCTGAGCTCTCAACGAAATACCGATATAGAAACCATATTCCATCCTCATTTCTAGATGCCCAGAGAAGGAAGACTTGCTGTGGGTCCTCGATTCCGACTTTTGATCCTTGTCAGGGTTTGCCAAAGTACTCAACAGTGATTTTCCTCCTTTAGAAAGGGGGAGCCCCTCGGTCCTTTTTCCTTTCTTCCTATGACATAATAAAATATCCACTATCGTATCCATTTTTGTAAAATGATGAAGAATCCGGACAAGGAGAATGGAATAAGGACCCTAGACTTGGGAGCCATTTCGGAAGCGCAGGAATGGAGGCAGCGAGGGCCCCTCCTGCCATCACCCCTCCCTACCGCTCAGGGAAGGGGGAGCCCCTCGGTCCTTTTTCCTTTCTTCCTATGACATAATAAAATATCCACTATCGTATCCATTTTTGTAAAATGATGAAGAATCCGGACAAGGAGAATGGAATAAGGACCCTAGACTTGGGAGCCATTTCGGAAGCGCAGGAATGGAGGCAGCGAGGGCCCCTCCTGCCATCACCCCTCCCTACCGCTCAGGGATCCGGCCAGGCGGCGCCTCCCAGCCCCGGCCCGTCGCAAAGAAGGTCAGGCAGAGTCGCGGCCGACGAGACAACGCGCCCCGCATTCGTCCCGCACTCTCCCGGCGGGCCCCGTGAAGGGCAAAGCCCCCACCCGAGGGTCCCGGAAGCCAACGAAATAAATAAATAAAAAAGAGACGCCCCCGGATCCGCGCCGAGGGCGGCCCCGCTGTGGGTCCTCCTGTCCCAGCGCTCACTTACATGACTGCCCGGGGCGTCTTCGAAAGTCATGCGCGCCGCCGCCGCCGCCGGAGGGTCAAGGCAAGAAGCCGAGAGGATCCGTCGCGGGACGGAAGGCGTCGGGCGGAGCGCGCACCCGGGAGGCGGCTCGCCCTGCGGGCACTGCCGGCGTGGGGCGGAGGCGGCGCGAGCACCGAAGGAGGGAGGCAGGGAGGGAGGGAAGGAAGGAAGGAGGGCTGGCCACGTTGTTTCTGGAGGGTGGCGCTTTCGGGATCGCTGAGATGCTGGCCGGGGAGGAGTTCCTCTTGGAACACCCCGTCTCGCCTCGTCACAGTAATCGGTTCTCCCTCCGCACGTGGCACACTCGGGTCGCAGAAGAACTCTTGCTCATGCGAGGCAGAGGCTTTCTAAACTTCACGTTGAGCCGGGGGGGGCGGGGGCTTCTCTTGACAAGCCTGCACCACACGGTATCCTTCCAATCTCCCCCTTCCATGGACCGGTGAAAAACAGCCCTTTGAAGGTTTGCTTTTAACCCCTAAAATTGCAGGTTTGTAATTTTTTAAAAAAGGGGACGCAGCACATCTTTCTCAATATTTTTTTAAATCAAGTATTTTAAATTCGTTTTACATCACCTTGTATTCCTTTGTTGGGAGAAAGATGAGATGTAAATGAAACAAATCCATGGAGCACACTCTGCAAGAGATCAAAGATCAAGTCGTGGAAGTCTTTTGCACGCTCTTGTTGAGGAGGAAGAGCTCAAGGCTTGTTACAAAAAGTGGTGAGGACTGGCTGAGTTGAACCTAACCAAGCTGAGGCTGTACTGAAGGCAAACTCCTCCCAGCCAAAGGATGTTGGAAATGGTTTAGGGCTTCCCTGACCTAACTATGTGACTTGGTCCTCTCCTTTTCTGGCTCTTCTGCCTGCAGATCTTTTCTTAGCCAACACAGCTCTTGTGTCAGCAGATCCAAAAGTGCAGACAGATTTGAGATGGATCAGCAAAAGGACTGGTGTGCAGGCTCAAAAAGATCCTACCTGTTCCACATCCACTGTGTCTGGCATATCCTTTGTATTAAGATTGTATTTTAATACAAAGGACTTGCTTCCATGGAAGAATCATGTTATGTTTTTTTCTCCATCTGTAATTCAGATGTAAAAAGATAACCATCTTTCTTTCATTCTCTCCATTTTTGATGGTTCTAGTTTCTGTTTTGTATTGCAATGCTTTGATTACACTTTCTGTCCATACTGCACCCTAGCCACATGCATAAATATGAAGTAGTGGCTTAAACCAAGTAGTACTTGTAAACTGAGTGCAATATGAAAGTGTCTCTTTAGATTCCTCTCCTGATACTGAAGTGAGAAAAGACTCACCAGTTGCTGACACCATTTCTCCGAGTGAGCACACAAGCACCTTGCCAGATGTTTGTTTTACCATTGCAACACAATTTCATTTGCTGAGTTGTTTGTTTTTATTTTGTATTTTGTTTACTGTTGTTGTTTAGTTAAGTCATGTCCGACTCTTCGTGACCCCTTGGACCAGAGCACGCCACGCCTTCGTCTTCCGCTGCCTCCCGGAGTTTGGTCAAATTCATGTTGGTCGCTTCAATGACACTGTCCATCCATCTCATCCTTGGTCACCCCCTTCTCCTCTTGCCCTCACACTTTCCCAACATCAGGGTCTTTTCCAGGGAGTCTTCTCTTCTCATGAATATTGGAGCCTCAGCTTCAGGATCTGTCCTTCCAGTGAGCACTCAGGGTTGATTTCCTTCAAAATGGATAGGTTTGTTCTCTTTGCAGTCCAGGGGACTCTCAAGAGTCTCCTCCAGCACCAAAAAGCATCAATTCTTCGGCAGTCAGCCTTCTTTATGGTCCAGTTCTCACTTCCGTACATCGCTACTGGAAAAACCATATCTTTGGCTATGCGGACCTTTGTTGGCAAGGTGATGTCTCTGCCTTTTAAGATGTTGTCTAGGTTTGTCATCGCTTTCCTTCCAAGAGGCAGGCGTCTTTTAATTTCACGGCTGCTGTCATCATCTGCAGTGATCATGGAGCCCAAGAAAGTAAAACCTCCGTATCTGCCTCCATATCTTCCCCTTCTATTTGCCAGTAGCCATGATTTTAACCACTGATGCATTTATTATAGCATGAGATTTTTTTGGACTATTACCTACTTTATCTGTCCAGAAAACATCGTGCTATAGTAAATGTACAAGTTTTCAAATTACCAGAGGATGCATTGCTGGTTTTGTTGCAACAGGCTAACACAGCTCTCCCTTTGGAGATCAGTAAAAGGCTCCTGCAGAATTTGGCAGCTGGAAATGAGACTCTGCTTCAGTTCAAACACAGGCATTCACTTACAAATAGTGAACTTTTTGAAGCTGACATGCAGGGTGTAATTACTTGTGCTCCCTTTACTATTACAGTTGTGGTACCTTTAAGAGTCACAGCCCAACTTTGTGAAGGCTTTTTACCTTGGAGGAATAAACACAAACACACACACTTTTGTTCTCCTTTTGCTACATCCCTCTATTTATAGAACAAACTCACAAAGGGTTGGTTTTGTTTTCCTATGCAGCAGTTTGCAATTATACTATATGCTGCTATAGAGTTTCCACTTTTCTGCCCTCTGTGTGTGCACACACACACAGTGGGGAGGGGAGAGCTACTTCCATTGGAGAGCAGCCCAACAGGGGCCTGGTTCCTAATTCCAGTGTAGAGGGGGGAACTGTGTATGTTATTTACTGTTGATTGGTGGCAGATACGCAACAGCTGAGCCAAACTGTAAAGTAGTGTTGCTGCAGTGCTGGAATACAAAGGGAGACATTGTGAGCTTCTTCAGTAGATCATTCTTCTGAAATGCATGGTGTAGCCATAAAGGTCAGGAAGGATGCCTTTTCATGTGGAGGAAGATAGAAAAAAGACCTCCTTGGTCTTTATATGGAAAACCCACGTGCTTTTCCATATAAGCTGGCTTCGGACCACAACTAACAAAGCTTGGCTAAAGAGGATGCTCATGTGGCTATCAAATAACAGTTGGGTATGGGGAGAAGGAAGTTACACTTGCAAATTCAAGATTGATCAGACTCCCAACATATGTGTGAGCATCCATGTGTTTTGACCACAACTCTAGACAATGTAGGCCAACAATGAAGGACTGGGAGACTGGCTGTTCAGTTATGTTCTGGATGGTCACACCTTACTCACCCCAGAGGTAGAATCAACCATTCTGAATGCCTCTAATTGTAATTTACAGGTGTGTTACTATTTTCTAAACTAAAGGCACTTATCCTCCAGCTAAAATATAAAATGATCACAATTAAAAAGCTCTAATTAGGAGGAACTTAGATGGACAAGAGTTTTGAGTTGCAAAACAGAAAAAAATGGAAAAGGTCTGTTTCTTTCTGCTTGTAAGCAACATGAAATCTGAGCTCAGCCTTCCCCACAGAAGCAAGAGGTCATAAACAAGAAAGATTTACATCTCTTGGTCAAATTTTAAATGGATGAACTTAAGAACATCATCTGAACATGTTTTTTAAAAAGTATTTTAAATATTAGCCCCACCTTCCTGTCAGTTTGAACAGCAAGCTTGCTTCTATAAAATCACAAAAAGCTCACCAGTAATTTAAAAATAGAAAATCAGAACACAACCATGCTAAAATTAAAACTAGAAAAGCCAGACCAAAAATGTCAACACTTGGGAGATAATAGGTTTTTCCACTTGTTAGCAAAATGCAAGGGGCCAAGAAGAGTCCTGTTTAGCCCAAATTAACTCAGCATATCCAGTTCATCTCAATATGTGGGCATTGGGCCAGGGCTGCCCTGATGACTTAAATAAATGAGTTGATTTGTATGGGAGGACTTTTACTTTTACTTTTGTTTTATTTTGGAAAATGTTGGGCTATCAATGTGGGTTGGCTGGTTGGTTTATTGATTTATTTAATATGCTGCATTTCTCCCAGCAAAGGGGGCCCAAGGCAGGGCCAAAATGGCTCACAATTATATATTTTTGCTGGGAATATATTTCTGCCTCTCCAAGAATTACTGCTGTGCTAAGAGAGAAGAGGGATGCTACAGGGGATAGGTGGAAGGAGGCAGGTAATTTCAAAAAGACTCCGCCCTTTTTTGGGAGGGGATGGATGGTCAGAACCCTGCATGAATTGTCTGCCTGAGGCAAAAGCTTTAGGGGCATCAACCTTCCAGGAATGCTTTTCCTTCTTTGAAGGAAGTGTTTGGCAGCTGCAGTCTTGGGAATGCAGCTGTTCCTTAGGGCAGGGAGCTCCAGTGGTCAGAGGGACACTGCACAGAGAAATGTTACATCAACGAACAGGTTTTTGCCAAGAAAGAAACTGCTGTTAATCCTCCAAGGGTGGAACAATGTAAGATCAGTTTCTCTGGGAAGACTGCACACCTTGGCGCATTTCAGGGCACATCCAGAGGCACTTCTGTACAGGCCCTTTGCTGGTCATACAATAGCTCTGTTTCACCCTGAAATGAGTGACTAAAACGGATGGTCTCTTCCAGCCATTGTGCAGCTCCAAACAGTTAATCACTTTGTCTATTCACATTTGCAGCCTTCTGTTTCCTGGATTGTACATGCAGCATGCCACAATGTAACGCAAGCAGAGAGACATCACAATATTTGTTATATAGCAGAATTCCTTCAGTGCACATGAAGTATGCTGCAATGCACATATTCAAATGTGCATACTGTATTCTAAAGCTGCACATATAGAGAGCTCTGTTGGAATAAAGCATCAAGGCAGAGAGCAAGGGATCTGAAATGGTTGCTGGGGATATTAGTCAGTTACATAGCTGGAATGAGTATTCCATTACCCCTTTTGGCTTCTGTGTACAAAATGGTATTATTGCATGTCTTCTCCTGTGAAATCACTTCCTGCTTCTTTGTCTTTTCCAACTCAGCTTACACATCTTTATCCTCTTGCACTATTTTAAAATGCCTTTCCTAGTTAATATGCTGTAAGTGTACTTTTTCCTTTTACTTTATTGCCAGTCTCTAGAGTGGTTTTCTCGCAAGCCTGTTATAGGCCTCTGCCAATAAAAACACTAAATAATGCTAATAAGCACAATGTTTTGAAAGTGAAATTGTCTAAAATATCCAGGTTTTACGATCTGCAAGAGCTTGCCCTGCACTCAAACCCACCACCACGAAAGACACATCTGGTTGCAACATGAAAAATGGCATTCTTGTTGACTGGTCCCATAGTGGGCCTGCATGTCACCAGAACTGCACATGCACACATGCAGATGTGCCATTTTCTTCTCACCTATGTCTTTCTATACTGAAGGGCTCTGGAAGAAACTGTAGCTTGGATAGATATAGCCAGGCTGGTTTGGGTTCTCTTTAGTGTTTTCGAAAGATTGGCACAAATATAGGTTTGCATTGGCTCACATTACTTGGA